GTAGCTCTGCCCCATGAATCACTTTTCTGTCAGAATAAATGATGTAAGATGTGATGTGAACTGATTAGAATGGATTCCATTTGTGTGGTTTGGTACCCCAGCCTTTACTTCTTTTTGTCTGATTATTGGTGGACAAACAACATGAATTAGCATGAGACCTTCTCTGATTTTAGAAATAAAATAAAGGGTAGTGTGAGAACTCTCACTCCTTGCCCAGAGATAGAAACATTAAATGCTCTATGAATCCAGCTACTGACTTTATTCTCCTTAGAAAGATTATATTTTGAATGTTATGGAATTGCTAACCTCTGGGCTTTTGCCTATAATCCGGTATCCATAACCCTTATCATTTGTCACTGTTGCAGCTGCAGCCAGGCAAAAGGGGGCCCTTCTGCTTGAGACATCTGAGTTAGCCAGCAGGCTAATTCTGCTAATACAGATTAGCTCCCACGGGAGCTGCTCGTATTGATTGAACAACAAAGGCTGGGAGAAAAACGTTCCAACATTCAATTATCCACACCGATGGACATAATGCCATTCTGCTCCTCCCCTGTCTCCCCCTTTTTCTTTGCTCATCTCCTGACTGTAAGGTCCAGGGCAGTGCACGCAGGGAGATGTATGTTAACAGGTTTAAAAGCACATTGTAGGAGGGCTGGCCGATGTATTTCCCCCTCTTCCATCACCTCCCGCCTGTCCACCCACTTCTTCTCCCTGTTTGCCATGTTTGTTTATTTTAGCATTTTGCAGATGCAAGACTTTTTATTGTTTAGGGGGAGTTGTGTTAATTCCAGCCCTGTGCATCCCATAATGATCCCGATTTAATGTCAGTGAGTGACATATGCCGTCTGTCAGGAGGCTCTGATTTCCCCGGAGCATACAGCTGTAATGTTGGTGACATCTCAGTTAGCCAGGCTGTACAAAGCTGCAGGAATGAACAGCATGCATCCTAATTAGCCCAACACTAAATACACACAGTAACATTTGAACACACTGGAGACGACACCAGCAAATAAACATGGACCAGGCCTTTAAAGGAAAAGTTTATTTTATCCGCTTTGCCTTTACTCAAAGTTTCAGTGACCTATGGAAATGGTAATATTTTATAATTTATTGATAAAATCTCGTATGAATGATGTGCTTATCCAATTCCTGTTTCCAATTTTGTGTTGCAGACCTCCCATAATCCGTCCATAATAGTAACTTCAGTTTGAAAGACACAGAACTCTCATGTATTTTTTGTGTGTGCCATTTTTCACATATTGTTAAGAATGCAGGGTTTTTGTGAACAAATTAGACCACAGCATGTAAACATGTGTAAGAAAACCATTTTAGAGCCAGGAACTAATTACATAAATGTGGTTCCATTTATAGTTCCATTGATAAAGTTAGGCACACCAGCTTTAAACATCAAAAGTACTACAAAAACTGTTCAATCTTGTGCATGTCGAAAACACGTAAACAAGTTTGAACGAGCTGCAGCTCCATCCTTGTCTTGCAGTGCCCTCTCATTAGACAGCCATCGTTAGAGCTAATTCTCTCCGCCATCGGGTCTGACCGCCATTCCGCACGGCACAAGGCGACGCCACCTCATCTCCCGGAACGCCAATGACACGTGAAGGCAGCGCAGGTAACAGATGCTGAGACGCGGGAAGGACAAAGTTATATCCACACTCGGGTCATCACCATTAGCCAAACAGGCGACTAGCAAACGACTCTTGATCTGGAGGAATTATTAGCTAATGGCCAGGGCGAGCGCACAGGGCGTGATCTCTCGAGGGGGGGTGGGCTCCAAGATGAAAGCCAAATGAGATGAAGAAGCGGCGTAATCAAAAGAAAATTCGCCGATCAGCACCATTGGCTCGTATTCAGTCATGTGATGGACTGGCGGACAGGCGGCTCTCAAATGTCAAGGCTTATGAGTAGGTGAGAAGAGACGTGTCTAACGGGGGCGGCCATTTTGCTGCTGCCTAATTTATTTCCCATTATGGAAAATGTTAACAAAGCATTAATGAGGTGCTGACTACATCATCCTGGCTTTAAAACACTGTGTCAAGGGAACAGGCCTGCTTTGTATGCCACTGTGGTCCACAGAGGGTACGCAGTTTCTGAGCAAGAATCTGTTTGGCTACATCAGGGATTAAAATAGTCAGCGTGATTTGTAAGGGCTTGTTTTTGTTTGGTTTGCGTTCTTTACTTTACTCTTTGTTTTCAGCACAGGAGATCCATGAACACTGAACTTCATTTGTGTCATCTGGATTATGTCAGACGATTGTGGACAGTGAAAAGAAACATGAACTTCCCTACACATCAGAATGTTTGAATGTTTTTAACGTTGCGATGTATTGTATTGTGTATACCCAACGTAGATCAAGTTGTTTCACTACTTTAATTGTATGAGCATTTAACTTATACAGTTGTTCTACATTATTATTCCCTTCCCTGGACATCAGATCTCATCAGGCACCAGTTATAAAAAGTCTGCGTTTCAAGATGGGTATCAAAAATTAAAAAGCTGTATATACATTTAAGGCATTGATTAGCCCCATATAAAAAGTAAAACAAAAAATCCACTTTTGAACCATTGAAGTCATCACGCCGCCTGCAGAAAAAGCTAAACTGAAACAATAGCATTAGGAGAGTGGGATCAGGCCTGATTAATTACAAAAGCCCGCTACAGTAATCCACACCCCAGGGTCTTCCAGCCCATAACTAAAAGTAGCAAGAAAACAGTAGCTAAAACACAGTGTTATTTGCTTAACTATTTCCAAGAAAGTTACTTCAACCAAAGGCAACACCAGTGGGCAGTCCAACGTGAGAACACTGCAAGCTTGTAAAAGTAATTTCAGGGTTAGGGCAAAGGAGCCAACTTGTCCAAATGAAACGGCCCTCGATGAAGATAGGTGGCCATTTTCCCCCCTGAAGCTGAATTGACTGTTGCAAACAAGAGGCATGACCGAGATGAAATTGGCTCACCTAGATCTGTTCCTAGAAGGCGGGAGGGAGGGGAGAGGGGGAGAGATGAGAGGATAGTTTCAAAGGCGTGACAGACAGTGGCAGAGAAAGACACAAGAAGACAAATGAGACCATGAAAGAGCCCAAAGAAAATGGTTCGGTGGGTTCAGGGCCAGTGGAGATGACAGGCGAGTAACGAAAGGAGGGAAAAAAACAGGATGTGATATAGGTAGACGCCGGACCGCTGATGGTGTCATCAGAGATACCATCGTAACACGACAACTTGTTTTGAAGCGGAAGACAGAGCCATATCCATTTGAGCATAATCTCTAAGAGGGACAAGCCTACAACCGTCCATTTCATTATCAATAAAAGGCCGCATGCGAGATATAGAAATGATGAATTCTCAGCCTTTACGGTGGGGAAACTGTTGCCGGGTAGAGTGTGGCCTTACAGAGCTTTTAGCTAAATCATGTACCTGCATTGTTATTCCCAAAAAACATTATTATAATCAATATTTTAACGTTTGTTTGGACAGGTGCATTTTTTTCTTAACTTTCTAGATTTAGTTTTTCTGGCTTTATTATATTTCCATGTTAAACAGTATGGTTTCTCCTGTACCTAAGATATATCCGTGTCATTCATCCAGGACTTACACTGATCTCCTATTATTGTTCTACTATTCTTTTTTTTTTCTTTCTGGAGGAAAGAATAACTTCTCAGAAACAACTTCAGCTCAATCATACAACCTGTTGCCTGCCATAAGATTACTTCTACAAATGAGTGTTGTTATTTTCATGTTTCATTTTCAGTCTCCATCATTTGGTTCAGAAGACACTTCAACATGAATTTGATCTTATTCCTGCTTCATTTCTCATGGCTTAGAAAGCTGCATGCTTAAACATATTCTTGCCTTGCTTGGGCCACAAGATAAAATCTGCTGAAAGAATGATGCAACTCCTTCTTCCCATTATAATTGCACATCACATTTCTCCAATGAATTCCTAATCTGGAGTCTTCTTCTTCTCAGCAATTTTGAAAGTCTGAAAGTTCGGCGCTTCGTCCAGTATCACACTTTTATAGCCGAGCATAATTGGGACCATAAACCTGGTCTGAGCCCCATTTGGTGATGATTCCTTGCCTCAAATACCTGCTGGCCTTTAGCGGAATATTACTTATTAAGCACTCCAAATTCTAGAGGAAGTATTATCCGTAAGGTCAAGCATGGAGAATCCGTGAGAGGAACGGTTTTATAGGCCGGGTTTTCTCACAACTCGACGCATTGCAGATGGCATGCTAATGGAGTGTTTGTCTCCTCTAGGATACTTGTCTGAAGATACACTGACACTTTTTGATGAATCTAGACACTTCAGTATATGGACGGCGTCAGGGTCCACTTCAAACCTTTGGACATCGGAGTATAACAATATACACTATAACGCGACGAATGTCATGTTTTTATTTCTAAATTTGTAACCAAAATGTGGAGAGAACCTTTTCCACGTTCACATGCCTCGCTCCCATTGGTCCGCCCCTGGCCAAATGTAGCCATTAGTAGTTTACCGCTTCCTAACAGCGTGAACAAATTCTGACTTCTGTATAGCATTTAGGGAGTCTTTATCAAGCCTGTAAAGCCCTGTTCAACTGCAAGGCATGATTCATATTTTGTTTGAGGTTCTTAATCCAGCCTAAAAACTGTTTCAAGTTGGTTGGAGACAAAAATATTCCAAATTGAGTGTGTCCATTTTATGATGGATCTGACCTGGATGATTCATTGATTGTTCCATATCTGACCTATTGTATTGAAGTTTGGGGAAGTGCCTGCAAAACAAACATAAATCAGATTTTTCTTCTACAGAATCGAGCCATAAGGGTTGTCACGGGTCACGGGTAGTGGATATGTAGGTAGTGGGTAGGTGGCGGACGACACCACCCTCATTGGACTCATCTCCAACAACGATGAGTCCGCCTACAGGAGGGAGGTGGACCGGCTGGTGTCCTGGTGCAGTGGTAACAACCTGGAGCTGAACGCCCAGAAGACAGTGGAGATGATTGTGGACTTCAGGAAGAGCACTGTCCCCCCACCCCCACCCTCCGTGATGGACTCCCCCATCACCTCTGTGGAGTCCTTCCGTTTCCTGGGCACCACCATCACCCAGGACCTCAAGTGGGAGCCGACCATCAGCTCCCTCATCAAGAAGGCCCAGCAGAGGATGTACTTCCTGCGGCAGCTCAGGAAAGCCAAGCTGCCTGCACAGATGTTGGTGCAGTTCTACACGGCCATCATCGAGTCCATCCTCACCTCCTCCATCACCGTGTGGTTCGCTGGAGCCACAGTCAGGGACAAACAGAGACTACAGCGCATTGTTCGCTCTGCAGAGGAAGTGATCGGCCGCAGCCTTCCATCGCTGCAGGACCTGTACGTCGCCCGAGCTCGAGGCCGGGCTGGTTGTATCACAGCCGACCCCTCTCACCTGCACATGGACTATTCCAACCACTCCCCTCAGGCAGGAGGCTGCGGTCCATCAGGACTAGAACCTCCCGCCACAAGAACAGTTTCTTCCCCTCTGCTGTTGGACTCTTGAACACTTCTTAACCTGTCCCCGGGCCCCCGCCCTTTATAAAGTCACTTTACTGCCCATCATACGTCACTTTACTTCACTGTACTGCTGTCACCTTACATTGTGTGCACCATGTGCACTTGTATATTGTAAATAGTAACTGTAACTCTATTTTAAATTTAAATTTATTCTTTAGAAGTTTTTTATTCTTATTTTTATTATCTCTTTTTGACTGTTGCACTGAGCCAAAGCAATTTCCTAGTCTGTGACCTCCTGTTACTTACGTGGCAATAAAAATGATTCTGATTCTGATTCTGATATAGAGACACAACTAATCCATTATTCATACAACTAAAAACACTGAAATTTAATGAACTAGTAGAGTATAACTTGTTAAAAATATGTATAAAGCTCATCTGGAAAGTTGACCCATGAATCTGCAGAACACATTCACCAAGAGAAAAAGCAGATATGAATGAAAAGGAACCGAGATCGTTAACAAACCCAGGTTTCAATCGTCTTTAAAGGAAAAATGTATCTCAATCAAAGGAGTCGATCTGTGGAACAGTCTGGATGTACAATCAAAACTACTACGTCTGATTTTGTGTTTAAAAAGTCTGTAAAATTATCTATGTTGCAGAAATACATCACTGTGGATCAGCTGTAACCTTAATTTTGTGTTTTGAGTTTGGAATTGTCAGAGTTGCATTAGAGGCTCAAATGCACTGGAACTGTAAATGATTTTGTTTTTTTCTTCTTTCTGCTAAATTCATGCTAAATCTTTCTTCATTCATGCTAAATGCTGTTGTTGCATTTATTTTCCAATGAATTAAATAAATAAAAAAACGAAACGAAACAATGAGTGAGGGATTAGACATAAAAGACATCATTTACTAGTGACTGGAAATATAATCAAATACAAATATTCTATAAACATGGTCTCTGTTTTATGCGGATCTCTTGAAAGACGTTGACAAAAGAAAATGAAGAAATTCTACAAACATGGAAAAACAACACAATCCAGAGCTGTTGTCGAGACGTGGCTGAGAAATACAAGCCTTCATTTAATTCCATCTCATATCTTTCTGTTTGCCCAAAATTGAACCAGCTTTCCTTGTAATGTTTATATTCTTCTCCGATTGCCTTCCGCTCTGAAACACACACACATTCAACATTGGCGTTGTATCCCAATCTCGATGGCGGATTTGCTTGATTTCTTTAAGACAAGGGCTTCAATCATCCTTGCTATCCTGTAGTGTCACTTCAGATTTTATCACAAGGGTATGCATTGCAATGTGATTATCCCTTTACAATGGAGATAAAATCCTTCTCCCCCACGCACGCATTACGAATAGCGAACAAACCAGCACCTCTTGGGTCAACAACACACAATGCAGAAAGCCCATAGGGGCGCAATTGTTACAGTTTCAGACCAGTAGGGTGCCCATTGTAAACCAAGGCCATCAGAGGAGAGTATCACCTATGAAAGAATGACATAGATCGCTTCAACCACCCCTGTGACTCCCTCTCCACCCCCTCCCCTTTTTCCAAACCTAGCCCCAAGAGACTGGCAAAGAACAAGGCACATCCATCCGATCGAATGTCACGTAAATACAGCAGCAGCAGTAGTCCTGTGATTGCTGTTGGTATACCCTGCTTATTGACCCGTGCGAGGAGCTTCAGAGGACCAGTGTGTGTGCGGATGTGTGTGTAGATGTGTGTGCGGGTGTGTGTGTATGTGGATGTGTGTGTGTCAGAGAGAGATGGAGAACTGAACTGGGAAGACCAAGGCAAGATCAGGAATAACCATAACTATATGTTGAGTAATCACAAGAAGGGCAAAGATTTTCACAGTATTTTAGTTTAAGAAACAACAAATATCTAGGTTTATTCTATGAGCGGCTTTGGAAGGACATAAAAAGGCCAGCAAATCAATCATGCCAATCTATGCTGTGTATAGTCTTCACTATAGTCACTATTGGGAGTTAGTAGGGACCGTTTTTCTGTCCTCTTTAGTTGCTTTGTTGAAGTCGGTTATCATAATCAAAACCACTACATAATGTTTATTAAATGCCTGGTTGACTGAAAAACTCTTTGGTTTGGTTGTTCTAGAAACCAGAAAAGACCAAGGCAGATCCTTCCAATCGAATGTCACGCAAACCCAGCAGCGACGGCCGTCTATATAAGTCGCTGTAGCTTGCTTATTGACCCGTGCTGTGTGCGTTTGAGAGATCTGCACGCGTCTGCCGCTTGCATCCGAGATGGATCGCGAAGGCCATCGTGAGTCGAGCTGACCCTATCTGGAGGCGTCGTGGCGAGATCAGAGCCAAAGCCAAGCCCACTGTCTCCCACTGTGATGAGGCAGCGACAGTGGCCATAGATGTGTTTGCAGAGGAGATGACATCGCCCAAAGCCCCTCTGCAGCCAGCTCCAAAAAGATAAGAGGGAAACGGAGATGGGCAGCTCCACAGATGGTCAACGTTTTCTCGCTTTATGTGGCGTGCGAGTTGACACCATTGGTCAAACGTATATATATATATGCATAAAGAGGTACTCATGTTGACAGGAATTTAAAGTCAAATGCAAAGTAGACTGTCAACTCGCAGTGCTCTTAACAAGGTTACTTTATTTTGTGTAGCGACTTTGAAGAGTTTTAAAGGGGTACCTAACATTTTCATTGCGTTGAGCTGATTGGCTGCGTGAAAATGTTCCTCTCTTTTTCATTTTTCTGTCCGGCACAGAAGCCAAAAGTACGTGCATATGAAAACAAGTGATGCCTTGAGCACAGAGCAAGTAGTGGGAGAGAGAGGTGTAGGGTTGTAGAGTGCTTGGGCCTGGGTCTTGTCAGAGTGTGTGTGTGTTTAGTGTTGTCTGTCTTATACCATCCGTGGTAGTATTGTATAACTGTTTGTAATGTACCGTTGTATGTTTGAGAATTCTACTGCATGATATTGTTGAAACACTTTGTCTGATGGGGTTGGAACCAAATACACATTTGCTTCATCCAACTCCTTTTCAAACCAGGTACGGGTTATTTGTCTGTTATGTTGATACATGTAAAAATATGCAGGTTTGAAATTAAATAAATAGATAAAAACAAGTGATACAACCAAACTGTTTTGAACTAGTTAGATGGGTTTTACGACATAATTTCATTCTCCTACTTTGAAAGCTTAGTACCCCATTGTTATCTCAATATTATAAATGTATGGTATTCTGACTAATAATTTTAGCAGCAATTGTTGGACAAAGAATACTAAATGAATTAGTGCTAAACTTATGTTTACAAAAAAAAAATATAATTTACACTCGCTTTTATACTGTTTTGCAGCATGACTTTTTTTTATTTATCCTAATCGCAAAATCAAAATTATGATCTACAGTAAATCAATCCCATTCCACCTATCCAAGGTATCCATGGAAACAAGATGCTTTATGGGAATTAACAAGGCAGTACCAGTAACAAGAAGAAAACATACATAACATTGGTTTTAATTGATTCAATCCCAGAAAAGGTGACATCACACACCTTTATCACATACTCACGAATTGTCACAGTGTTTTATAGACAAAGACTCGCATCCACAAGGACAAGGTGTTTTGCCAAGGAACATAAGCCACACTTTCTAATTGATTGCTTTTTGCGCTACATAATTTTCGACAGTTCTCCTCTCACTGATCCGATTTTCATGACTTTGTGGCTTCTTTGGAGTTTTTAGGACGTTCCTTGATTTGAACAGATTTGACAGTTTTGACAGCGTGTTGTCACTTTACTGGCATGTCTTAAACAGAGAGAATGAGTGAACACTGAGAGAGGTGAATTATCATAATAAATCACTTCAACACATCAACTTTGAGGACAAATTATCCAGTGTTTGAATACGTTTCACCTATTATCGGGTGCCAAGATGATGATCCTTGAATTTGGCATGGTCTGTCAGTCGTAATTTAATGGCCTCTGATAGAAAAGGAATAGTTTAAAGATTATCTAAAGTGCGAAATAGGTTATTGAGATTTTTTTTGAACAATTTTGTACACATTTATCCATCATCAAAAAAAACTTCCTGGAATTTTTTTTAGATCCATTTTACCCTTCATACTTGTGTCACTGTATATGTTCAATTTGGGATTATTTCACATTCTCGAACATTATATGGTCCCATAGTCTTTAATCTTTAATGGACAAAAATAATGCCTCATATTTCCACATTGAAGAAGGCCTATGATTCTGGACTTATGACACCTAGGACTCATTATTTTATGTATTTTAGTCAGTAGTGGCGGGTCCAGGCTCAAAAGTGGCCAAAATGACGTGCGCTGACATGCTTGCAATACCACCCCGGTCCGATGGGGGTGGACCCGGAATGAGAATTAGGCAATGCTAACATATAGCATCTTCTTACCTCTCGAAAACGTCTTCACAGGATGGTCCAAAAGTTGTCTCTTGGCCCAAAGCTCCGTTCCACATGTGTGTCAATGCTGAGGGGAGTGTTTTGGACCAGTCTAGTTTAGTTGCTGTGATTTTTTGAAGTCTCTCGTTTAAATGAACGGAGCTTGTGCCGGCTGACGCATGCACAGATGCGTTTTTTCACATTTTCCAGCCCCCGCGGCCATTTTGAATCACTTTATGAGAGCCCATTTTTTGGCCCATTAGTTAGAACGGCGGAGATAGGCGTGACTGCGTCCGTTATTAAATACAGTCTATGATTTTAGTACATTGGAAATATCAACAATGATGTAAACATTGTTATATCCGTTTGTCACATGGGATTGGAGGTCTATATCTCAGACATGGATAAAGTTAGCGATCTGCTGATTTGTTGTTCTTTCAAGCTAAAAATGACAATAACATTAGTAATCAAACACTGTGGGCGTGCCGTGGCTACAACTGTGAGAGTGTAAAAGACACTGGAAAACAACTATAACAATAGATCCTTAGATCATATTGGTTTGAATTCAGCCCGATAGTCGTGACTAAACAGTTATGCTCGAAAGTGCTGACATTATTTACTTGCTTAAGAAATCTTCAGACAACAAATTACTAATTCCAATTTGTATACACCAGTGCCCTGTGCAGCAGCATTAGGCAATCACCGGTCACGCTCAGTGGCATGAATCAAACACTTCAGAGGTGCAGGTCCTTCTAATTTTAGAGCGAAAAGGACAAAGAGTGGTAATGCACATGGGATGAAACTTTTAAAGATTTTACTTATAAATAATCAACAGGAAATAAAACGGACAAAACATCTACAAAGAGGAGCTACTCTTTGGAACAACTTTCCTGATGAATTAAAAACAGGTTCAAATATGATTCCTTTCAAAAAAATAAAACAGTACTAAAGAATTGGAGGAAAAAGAATGATGGAGGAGGAGATGAGTTAGTCAAAAAGTGTTTGACAGGGGAGGAGCTCGGAGTAGAGCTGCTGCTTTTCCATGTCGAGAGGAGCCAGTTGAGGTGGCTCAGGGGTCTGTTTTCGGAGGTCTCCCTTAGGACACGCCTTGGGATTCCCCTGGATGAGCTGGGGGAAATGTGTGGAGAGGGAAGTCCGGGCATATGTGCTTAGATTGTTGGATACTGTCAAGATAAGTACCTAAAACTGGATCAAGATTTTGCCAAGTCAATTATGCTGTTCACCATCTTGTCATGAGGTGAAATTAATGAGGACCCAAAATATGATTATTTGATTAATGAGGTTAATAGATACAAGTTAAGTGTATAACAAAAAAACATAAACAGAACACAGACAGACAAAGACAATGGATGAAACTCTACATTATTTACAGATTACAAATGTTTCCAACTGACTTGTATTGTGTGAAGTCTTTTGATTGTAGAAAATTCCAGGCAAAACAGCACCATTGAGATGGACCCGAGAGAGAAGCCGCCTCTGAATCCACCAGGAACCGAATCTTTTAACAACATATTTATAAACTATACAGAAGAAAGTTACAGACAGAAACCATTTCATAGCTCTTGGAAATGTCCGCAGACTAAAATGAAGCGACTTCGTTATGCAATGAACTATACTGTATACGTCTGCCCTGATCGGCCCATTTGCGGGAGAAACCTTTGACATTTATATTAAAAATGTCATTACTGAAATCACACTTCACCTGAAAATGAGTTTGGACGCTGCCCGCTCCACACCCCTCTTTGACACGTTCATCTATGAAAGGTCACCGCACGCCGCTACAGCCTGAACCATGTGTATAGAATATCCTGATGGTAAGATCCGATGATCTCTGGACAAACAGCTGCCACTATCAAGCAACAGGGTCATACATTTGAATATGAAAACATGTTACAAGTATGTGACAGGCCGATGGGAAATAGGACCACGAGTTTTACACAAATCCAATTTTTTGCGTTAAGATCTTGAACTACTAATAAGTAAGTAAGTAATGATTTATATAGCGCATTTTTACAGAGCAAGGTCAACCAAAATGTTCAGAGTTCAGATATTTTTCTTTTCACTCCACACACGGTAATAACGGAAGCAGGACGCCGAACACGCTCATTACATTCATATATCTATCGTGCAAGTTTTTAGAGGTAGGGGAAACCGGAGCACCTGGAGGAAACTGGAGCAGACATGGGGCGAACATGAAACCTCCACGCAAAAGGCCTGGAGGTTGAATCGAACCCAGGACCTTCTTGCTGTGGGAATTATGTGTCCATCTATGGTGCAGTATGGCAAAAGGGAGAACTTGTTAAGCTGTTTTTCTCGGTTTTGTAATTTCAGTTGCCCTTAACTTTTGACCACCAATCCTTGAAATATAATCCGCTGTGCAAGTGTGGCAATCACACTGTCTTGGGTGATTTAACTCACATTATTCTGAATTGGTGTTATGGCAGAAGGTGATGGTGAGTGGTGTGGTTAGGTTCCCACTGCATGAGAACAACAGCTGAGACTTATGACAAACTCGTCGGGCTTTCAACATGACATGACCTCAAAGATGTAAGAATGGGAGCAGGACCAGAGCTGTGCCGCCAGTGGCCATAAACAAAACCAGAACTTGTTTTAATCACAATTATCGTCTCTGCGATGTGATTTGTGTTAAAAACGAAATATATAAATGTCACATTGAACAGTTGGAAGGAAGGGACGTTTAAGCGACCACATTTTCTTAACAACATGACACCAAACACATAAAGAGGCATCTAAAAGTATAGAAATGTAGAAACAGGAATGTCTTGAATATACATTTGTGTTTACTTTCCTATAGATAATATTGTTGTTAATATTATTAAAGTAAATCTTAGAAAAGGGTCTGTTTTTGAAAAATTGCAAAATGGAGCCTCATCATTGTATTTATTTCCTGCTCAAATACATAGTGACCTTTTTATTCACAAGAAAATAAAAAGGAGAAGAATATAAAAAATATATATACTTTACTGACATAAAATATAAACTCTAACCAGATATAAATAAAGCAAATAG